TATTTTTGTATTCCATGTCATTTACTTCTTCCCCACATCTTTAATTTTTTTTTAAGTTGTAGATGGACATAATACCTCTTTCCTTCTTTCCTTCCTTCCTTCTTTCCTTTCTTCTTTCTTTCCTTTCTTCTTTCTTTCTCTCTCTCTCTCTCTCATCCAGTGCCCTTACATGTGACAGGCAAACGCTCCACCATTTAACAACGAGCCCAGTGCTTCCCCCCACACACCCACCTCCCTGCAGGCAAATCTTTTATGATGTTGGCCATATGCACAGCACCAAGCTAGATGTGGAATTCATTAATTCATTCATTCATTTCTTTGGGACAATGTATTCAGGTGTAAAAGCTCAGGACACAAAGACAGATGAAATAGTGATCCTTACCTCTAGGATTTATAGACTCACCATTTATATAATATTTTTTTTGTGATGCTGGGGATTGAACACAGGACCTTGTGTGTGTGTGAGGCAAGCATTCTACTGACTGAGCTATATCCCCAGCTCCCTATAGAATAATTTACCAGATACTCAGAGCTGAAATTTGAAAGAGTTAAGATAGGCACTTGTCTTGGGTGCAAAATTTAAGAGGGCACCAAAAAAAACATCAGTAATCAAGATACAATACTATTTTTTAAATCCAAAATTGATACAAAAATTCATGAGGCACAAAATATCAAATTTAAAAATAAAGACAGGTTGTTGTTTGAGAACCATGCATTGTTGTACAAACATAACAGTCATTCCCAACCAGCCTGGGCTTATAGGGCCCACATGTCCCTTAAGGGTGGGTTTACATGAATTAACAATGGCATGCAAATAAATTGGGCAACATGGAGCTTTATATATAGTTTGTGTGTTTTGATTTTACAGTCTATTAACTTTTTCCACTTGGTTCAAGGTATGGGAGATTATTTCAATAAATGTATATAGGGGTACACAATTTTCCTTGTATCTTAAGTTCCAACAAGGCACAGCTTGCTCTTTCCAGATAGTTTACTTAAGCCTCATGATGCCCCCAAATGATGAATACGATTATTCTTCCTCTTCTCCCCTATTTTGCAGAAAGAAAAATGAAGTTTTACAGAAGCCTGGCAAAATAGCATACAGTAATATTCTATAACAGTCATGTCACAAGTCAAGGTGGTACATCATTAAAGGAGCTAATATTTGGCTGAGAACATTTTGGGATAATTTTGTTTCTGGTGTAACAAACATTGGGTCCCCAAGGCAGTGCTAAATGCTGGACTTTCAAAAACCAGTAAATTCAGCTCCCTCCAACAGCTTGAGGATTGATATGAGCAAGTGATTGGGGTATAAAATGGTGAGAGTTGGTGATGAACCTTTTTCCCCCAAGGAAAAAACCCAGGCACCCAGTGTAGAACTCAGTTTAACCACAGCATGCTCCTGCCAGGGAGCAGGAGGCTGATGTCAGGGCTGTTTCTGAGCCTGTCCGCAAAATGGGGACAGAGCATCAACCCTGCAGTATTGCTGTTAACATAATCTTGAGATAATCAAATAATCCTGAAGATGAATGGTGCTTTGTACACTATACATTTGCTGTATGAATACGGGGGGGGGGGTTGAAAAATGTCTGTTTTAAACATATGTGGTGCATTACAAACATAGGAAAGTTTCCCACCTGCCTCTGAGGCCCAGAGCTAGTGTATGTACAGACAGGTAATTATCCTTCTCAAGTGCCAATAAAACTATATTAAAAGGATTTATGATGAAGCAGAGCTTCCAGCATATTATACAATGGGGAACCGTTTAAAATGGCTGGGAAATGAAATATTTGGGGCATCAAATTATACTTCATAACCAATTTTAAACCAGGCCTTCTCAGCCTCAGCCCTATTGATAGTTTGGACTGGATCATTCACCATCATGGGGCAGTCAGTTCTGGGCATGTTTAAGAATGTCCCTGCTCTCCACTCACTGGATGCCAGGAGCCAGGCACTGTGCCCCCCCCCCCCCCCCCACACACACATACACACTAGCAGTTCCTGAGGGTGGCAGCTGAAAATGTCCCTAGAGGAAAGGGAGCAACATCACTCCCCATTAAGAAATGCTGTTCTACTAACATCATTAAAATGGCGATATTACCAAAAGTACTCTATAGGTTTAATGCAATGCCAATCAAAATTCCAATGGCATTTCTCGCAGAAATAGAAAAAGCAATCATAAAATTCATCTGGAAAAATAGGAGACCCAGAATAGCAAAAGCAATCCTAAGCAGGAAGAGTAAAACAGGCAGTATAGCAATACCAGATTTTAAACTATACTACAGAGCAATAGTAACAAAAACAGCATGGTACTGGTACCAAAACAGGCAGGTAGACCAATGGTACAGAATAGAGGACACAGAGACCAATCCACAAAATTACAACTACCTTATATTAGACAAAGTTGCTAAAAGCATGCAATGGAGAAAGGATAGCATCTTCAACAAATGGTGCTGGGAAAACTGGAAAGCCATATGCAACAAAATGAAATTGAATCCCTGTCTCTCACCATGCACAAAAGTCAACTCAAAATGGATTAAGGAGCTAGGAATCAAACCAGAAACTCTGCGTCTAATAGAAGAAAAAGTTGGCTCTAATCTCCACCTCGTGGGGTCGGGCTCCAAATTCCTCAATAGGACACCTATAGCACAAGAGTTAAAATCAAGAATCAACAAATGGGACTTACTCAAACTAAAAAGTTTTTTCTCAGCAAGAGAAATAATAAGAGAGGTAAATAGGGAGCCTACATCCTGGGAACAAATTTTTACCCCTCACACTTCAGATAGAGCCCTAATCTCCAGAGTATACAAAGAACTCAAAAAATTAAACAATAAGAAAACAAATAACCCAATCAACAAATGGGCCAAGGACCTGAACAGACACTTCTTAGAGGAGGATATATAATCAATCAACAAATACATGAAAAAATGCTCACCATCTCTAGCAATCAGAGAAATGCAAATTAAAACCACTCTAAGGTACCATCTCACCCCAGTAAGAAAGGCAGCCATTATGAAGTCAAACAACATCAAGTGCTGGCGAGGATGTGGGGAAAAGGGTACACTTGTACATTGCTGGTGGGACTGCAAATTGGTGCAGCCAATTTGGAAATCAGTATGGAGATTCCTTGGAAAGCTGGGAATGGAACCACCATTTGACCCAGCTATTCCCCTTCTCAAACTATTCCCAAAAGACCTAAAAAGAGCATACTACAGGGATACAGCGTCATCAATGTTCATAGCAGCATGATCCACAATAGCTAGACTGTGGAACCAACCTAGATGCCCTTCAATAGATGAATGGATAAAAAAATGTGGCATATATACACAATGGAATATTACTCAGCACTACAAAATAACAAAATCATGGCATTTGCAGGGAAATGAATGGCATTAGAGAAGATTATGCCAAGTGAAATCAGCCAATCCCTAAAAAACAAATGTCCAATGTCTTCTTTGATATAAAGGGGGCGACTCAAAACAGAGCAGGGAGGAAGAGCATGAGAAGAAGATTACCATCAAACAGGGACAAGAGGTGGGAGGGAATGGGAGAGAGAGGGGGAATTGCACGGAAGATGGAAGGAGACCCACACTGTTATACAAAAAAATACATATAAGAGGATGTGAGGCGAAGGGGAGAAAAAAAAATAAGAGAGAGAGAGAGAGAGAAATGAGTTACGGTAGATGGGGTAGAGGGAGGGGAGGGGAGGGGAGGGGGGATAGGAAGGGGATAGGAAGGGCCGCAGAATACAACAGACACTAGTATGGCAGTATGTGTAAACTTGGCTGTATAATCAATGTGATCCTGCAATCTGTACACGTGGGAATAATAAGAATTCATACCCCATTTGAAACAAATATATGATATGTTAAGATCAATGTACTGTTTTGAACAACTAATAAATTTCTGATGTTTAAAAAAAAAGAAAGAAATGCTCTTCTAGGGGCTGGGTATGTGGCTCAGGAGAGTGTATGCTTTGCTGCATAAGGCCCGGGGTTCCATCCTTAGCACTGCAAAGGTAAAACAACATAAAGAAACAAACACTATTCTAATCTTAGAATTTAACATATTTTCTGTTTTTGAAGATTTAACTTGCTTCCAGTGCTTTGAGACCATAAATAATTGCAGCAAACTTTTCCTAGTTGATTCTTTCCCACCTGTCTCCTCTCTGCTCCCAAACAAGGCAAATTCTTGGCCATAAATTGCTGGAGCAAATGATGTCAAAAGCTGTCTGGGACCCAGAATAATTGGTCAAATTATGCATACTTGTAGGCTTTGGGAAGGAATTATTAAACTGGCCTACCAGAAAGATGGTTCAATTTACCTCTTCAAGGGTGGTGTTAGGTTTGTTTTTGTTCCTATTTGTTGTATTAAACTTTGCCAATTTGATAGGCAAGGGTGGGGTTTTAGAAGAGTTATTTCATTCTGTTCAAAATTGCATGGCCTAGTTTAGGCTTTTTCTAAACTATTTGTTGTGACTTTTTTTTTTTTTTTTAATAGTTGAGCAATCACCTGGAAAAAGAGAAGGTGAAACAAACCTGTTGGGGAAAGCAAAAACAAAAACCCCAACCGCCCTGGATGAGGAAGGTGCCTGTATTTAGTCATTTCAGCCAAGTGGAACACAAAGCAAGGCTGTAAATACAGTTTCGAGGTCCTCTTCTGGCCTCAGGGGGGCATATTGTATATCCCCATCCCCCAGGGATTCAGGGAATTGGTGTCCCAGTCGTTCACGCAGCCCAGCCTCTGGCGTGGGGCGGGGGCGCGTCCTGTATGGGAAGACTAAATTCTCTTTGGATACAAATGCAGCAAGGGTGGGGGGCGAATGACACTGGCACTAGGGAGCTGCGGAGTCAAGAGGTGACCAAGGCCGGCTGGGCTGGGCTGGGCTCTGTGGTTGGGTAGAGCACGTGATGCTCCCAGCCTGCCTCCCGGGCCCTCTGGGCGCCTGAGGCTGAAAGCGACACTTGCCTCTGGCAGGAAAATGAACTTGTCAGTTTCCGCTGGCATCAGACCGTCTACCCAAAGGAGCGACGGATCGGGGTAGCATTTTAGCTTTCTATCTCAGGGATCTGACAGCGAAAGGTAAGTTGTTTGTTACTCAGAAAAACAAACACGAGAGGAGTGACTGAGAAAGCCACACTGCCACTTTGTCGATTAAAAAAAAAATCTAGTCTTGAAAATAATATAGATCGCTGTGAGAAGCAAGGGCTGTATTTATTCCCAAATTAAAGATTGAACGACCGAAGAGAAAGTTGGTTAATCTGGAGCGAATAGTGGGAAAGGGGCCGAGGTTAAATATAGAAGGACACGAAAGCTGCTGGAATAAATAGCAAGTTAACTTAACTCTTTAACTCTAGCCTGCGTGTAAAACAATTTATTTCACATTTCTCTCAGGGGCGTGGGAGAAGGGAATGTTAAAATTATGATTTAAACTCAAGTGAAAGCAAATTAATTTACATGAAACTGGAATATAAATAACAATTTCTGCTTTTGTCCTTTTACATTTCAAAAATGTTTATGTGGTTTGGAGAAAGAAAAGATTGTGTACTGCTTAAGTTTGAAATATGCTATTTCAACTTTATGAAATGATCACAGTTGGAATCTTTTAAAGCTTCCTAGGCAAGGCTGTTTCAGTTGTGAATGGGAAATATTGACATTGTACATATTTTTTTTGTAATTGTAAAATGAATCACTTCAGAATGTGATAAAAATTAGAAAATGTGAAATAATCCACTATTGTGAATTAAATTTTTCATACCTGAGAAATTAAATGCCTTACCAGAAGATTTAAGGAAATAAACAGATATAATTCTGCTCATGCAATATTGTTTTATTTTAAATAATCAATTATTTTAGTAAATAGTATTAATATGTGGTGTCACTATTTTCCCTTTGCAAATACAAATTAATATTGGAATGCAGCTATTGAGAGTAATTAAAGCATCATTCATAATTGCATTTAGTATAATATTCCTTAAGGAAATGCTTTGATAGTGTTTGATGTAATACTTGATATATGATTTGAATTATTGAACCTCTACATAAAGTATGTTCATGCATATTATATCTTAAGTATCATTTTGATTTGCACAAAATATCTCCCTACTGCATTTGATAAATGCCGGTTTTTAAAATGAAACACTAAATTGTATTTCCTTTCACTATAATCTCCTATTGCTAGTTATTTCGAAATCCTTTTACAGGTTTGGAGCCTGTGATAATTTGGGTGTCTCCTTCTGTGTGGTTTGTTTTCCATAATTCCTCGTTAAAGGTTAGGGAAGCAGCACACTTAAAGCAGAATGCCCTGAGGGTGGTCAGAGCGAGGCTTTCAAGCCACCGCTCCTTGCTTTCCCCAGGCGTTCAAGGTCTTTCCCTCTTCGGATCTCCCCTCCTAGCTTCTAAGGCGTCACGTGGCAGCGTGGAGCCCTCCTCCCGGTGACGTCACGGCGCTCACAGCCGTCGCGCTGAAGAAAGGATGCTCTAGGATGCTGTCCAGGTGGGCGGCCGCGCTGCGCGATGCGGCACTGCAGGTAAGGGGCGCTCGGCGCCCGGACGCGCTCCCCCGGGCTCCCGGTGGTGCGGACTCTGCAGTCGGAGTCCCAGCGGGTTGGCCTAAAGCCTGGCAGCGTCCCCAGAAACAGAAAGTGGGGCCTCTGCCCGCTGTGGCGCCTGCTGCCCACAGCTACAAGCTGCTGCTGCATGCATCAGGCAGGGAGTGGCCTGGTGCAAGTCCACGCGTGACTTTGAGTCTTGGCGTGCCCACACTGAGAAAAAAGGGTAGGGGCCAGACAGAAAGACAGGACCTCATGTTCAGGAGGGGAAAAAATCTGGAATGACCACAATATATGCATTCTAAGGAAGAGATGGGCTTTTAAAAGATAACCATCAACTATTTTTTCACTGTCATTGTGCTTAAATAATGACACATTTATTAATTCTCTTTAAAGGGGATGTTCTCAGTAATTAGACTCATGTCTTTTAAAACAAAAGCTTGCTGGGAAATGGCAGCTTCTTGGTTAACAATTTAAGGGCCAAATGTGCTAAGTTGTTTTGCATTTTGCAGTGTTCCAGTATTTAAATGTGTTTTTTCTTCCAGTGTTTTCAGTAGATTTAAAAATAACAAGATCCAGTAAAATAGAATAAAATAAAACGCAGTTTCCAAAGGTAGCATGCCAGTGCCTGTAAGAGATGGCTACATCTCTAAGAACAAAGTGGTCTTTAGCAGAGGGTGAGGGTGGAGATGACACCAAACCCTAAGGATTTCCAGCATTCTTTTTAATCCCCTTGCTGAATAATCAGCTTGCTGAAGGCAGGGACCTGATGACTCAGCAACAAATGCAGTGGGTCAGGTGACTTCAGTTCCAGCATGAGCGTTGTGGGGGGATTTTAATGGACTTTTCCCTACCCTGTTTACATTCCTTTCTCCTGGTCTGTAGCCAGAACATGCGTGGGCTCCCTTAGGAGGAGAATGTGCCATTCTTTCCTGAAAACCAGACCCCTCTGGAAGCTGAGGCATCAGTAAATGGTATTGGAACTCACACCATGAATAATTTGCCCCATAGGCAACTTTGGGGGACTGCTAAAACAGTGCTATTTTCATTGATAATTGAAGAAGTTTGAGTTCTTTTAGAGTTTGTGTTACTGCAGTAATTCAGTAATTTGTTTATTGCACTTTTTTTTCTTTGGTTCAGTTGGCTATAAGAATAAAGGTCGGTGGAGGGTGTAGCTCAGTGGTGGAGCATGTGTGGAGCCTGTGCAAAACCCTGGATTTAATCCACAGCATAATTAAAAGGAAAAAGAAGAAAAAAAAAACAATGAAGTTTCCTCAGGTCCCCACCATGGCTTCTCCCCAGCAGAACAAAGCAGGTGATGCAAGTAGATTTAATAGAGATCTGGACTCCACTTCTGGCTTTTTGACTATGTAACCTTGAACAAGTCACCTGGTGTGTTCATGCCTGTTTTCTCATCTTGAGAGTAACAAAGGAATTGGGATTAGGTTTTCTCAACCTTAGCACAGTTGGCATTTGGGGCTGGGGCTGATAACTCTGTCATGGGGACTTTCCTGTGCATTGTAGGATGTTAAGCAGCATCTGTGTTCCCCACCCACTAGATGCCAGTATCAATTCCCTCCTGTCAGTTGTGACAACCCAAAATGTCACCAGACATTGCTACATGCCACCTGAGGACTCCATTGCCCCCAGGTTAAGAACCTCTGATTTAGATGATTTTTTGTTTGTTTGTTTTGTGATGCTGGAGAGTGAACTTAGGGCCTCACATGTGCTAGGCAAGTGTTTTGCCACTGAACCACACCACCAGTCTCTAGGTAATCTTTAAATGTTCTTTTGGCTACAATAAATCAGAATTTATTTTTCTATGATTTGTTCAATGTGGAATCCTCTGTCAAAAATCTGATTCCCTTTCATAATATTAAACATATTGAAAATGCAGTGTGAAGTGAAGACGTTTTTGTACTGAGGGTTTCCAGAAACAGTCAAAAGAGGAGGAGGAGGCTATTGGTATGCCATTTGTAGTTGGAGGTCCAGCCTATTAGAAAAGGAGAGTGTTGGAGGAAAAAAAAAACTCTAGACAAGGTGCGCTGAAACTGTGACCCTGCATGCATCCCCATGCAGGTTAAATCTCAATCTGGGGTAGACCCAGCAGCTGAGAGGCCACATCTTCGTCTGCAAGATTGGCAGTAACAGTCTGCACTCAGAAGTGTCCTGAGGATGAAATGAGAAGAGATGACATATTGTGCTGGTGTCAGATGTGGTGAGGACAGGATGGTAGTGATGTCCATAGAGATAGGAAGAGGCAAACACAAACTGCCCATAGAACCGGCAACCTGGAGAGTTCCTCAGTGTGGTGATGGTCACATGCTTTAGGCTTTAGTACAGGGCCTGTGTCTAAAGGTGTGCTTGGCCACTTATGAGGATGTCTGTGTCTGTATTATTGAATCTCTCAGAGCAGTTGCCAAATCTATAAAATAGGACCACTGTTCTTGGTCATCCTGATTCCTTGGCATTTGGAGAAGACTGGAAGGTGGTAAGAGGATCTGCAAGTTGGGAAACTCCCTGGAGACAAGCAGCAGTGATGACAGAAGTGTTGCAAGGTGTGGGATGTGTTTACTATAGGGCGAGGGGATGATGAATTTAAAAGGGCCAGAAAATATTTCCTTATCCCTCAGGCCTGGGACCACAGTGCCTCTCCCCTGCATCTCCTTGCTGCAAGGTCACTCACTGTCTGGCTCTTCCTTCCTTGCCCCATAAAAATAGTCTCCTGTGAGGATTAGAAAAGCCCTCCTGCGATAATGTTGGCCTTTAGTGAGAAAAGGCTGCTGCACCTTAGGCTCAGGCAATATAGCAGCTGGTCCCGTTCACTTTATAGGCCATTTTTCCCCAGGCTTCTGCCCTTAGCATTCAGGCTGCTTCTCCTATATCCAAAGCAGCCCTTCCAAACTCTTGTGGCCCTCAGAATGGCTTGGCACTCTCTCTCTCTCAGTGCCATCTGGCCTTGTCTCTTCAACAAGTCAGTATCATGAAAGAAAATTAGAACAAGGAGGAGGGATATTCTTTATCAGATGACACTTCAGAGATTGAATAGTCAAATATAACTTGTAGCCCTTGATTGGAACCTGGACTGAACAAACATGTGTAAGAGGCATTTGGGGGAACACATGGGAACTGTTTTATGTGACTGGCTCTTAGATGATACTAGGAAACTAGTGTTGATTTTATTAGGTGTGGTGATTTGTGGTGTGGTAGGCAGCTTCTGAGATGAACCTGTGACCTCTGCCCCTGGCAGCCACAACTTTGCATAATTCTCTCCCTTTGAGTTTGGGCTGCACCTGGCACACAAGTCACATGAATATGATATAGCTGGCGTGAAGGGATGGCACTTATGAGATTAGGGTATAAAGAATCTATGACTTCCGCCTTGGGTATGTTTTTCTCTATTGGACCAAAGGAAGGAGCTGCCATATTATGAGCAGCCCTATGGTGTGGGAACCCAAGGTCTTCTGTCCAACAGTTCCCACACTCATCCCCGAACCAAGACCTGTCAGTGGCATAAGTGTCCTTAGCAGCAGATCCCTCAGCCTCTGCTGAGCCTTGAGATGGCTGCTAGCCTCTCCTGGATTCTTGACACAGAAACAGTGAGATAAGCCTCTTTACTTCCTGCTGCTAGGTTTTGAGGTAATTCATTCCACAGCAATAGCTAATACATGTCTTTGTGGAAAAGAGTCTTATTTTTTGAAAATGTGTGTTGAAATTGAGATGAAATATCATGATAGCAATAATTGGCTTTTTTCTTACATTTTTTGAAAATCTTTATAATATATGGCTGAAGACAAGTGAATTACTCTCACACGTCATGCTTTTACATTTAGACTGCACATATCATGTAGCCTCTGGAAAGTTCCACTGCACACTCATGAAAGAATGGGCTTGAAAGAAGACAAAGATTATTATAATAATATTTTGACATCATGGACCCTGTGAGGTGTCTTGGCAACCCCAAGGAGTCCCTAGACCATACTTTGAGACCCACTGCTCTAGATCAGTAATTTACTTTTTATTAAAGGATTTTAAATCTCTAATTCTTCAATTGCTTAGCCAACCATCAGAGGCAATAGGGGCAAGCCTTGACTTAGAGGCTTTACCCACACAGAATTCAGAACACAAGCACTGCTGTAGACACAGTGCTGTAGACACACAATAAGCTTGCAGTGAACACAGGAATAAAGTTATATAAGGAGTAGTCTTTTTCCTGGTCTGACATTTTCAAGTTGACCTTTTTTTTGTCCTTTTTTTTAATCTCCTAAAAAAGCATGTATACATTTTTTAAGGGAGTTGGGGTACTAGGAATTGAACCCAGGGGTACTTTACCACTGAGCCACATCCCCAGCCCTTTTTAGTTTTTATTTTGAGACAGGGTCTTGCTAAGTTGCTTAGTGCCTTGCTGATTTGCTGATGCTGCTCTTGAACTTGTGATCCTCTTGTCTCAGCCTCCCAAGTCGCTGGCATTACAGGCATGTGCCACTGCAAGAAGCATGTATAAGATCTACAAAAAATTGTACCAAAACCACACATACACACATGGGTGGGTGTCCATACATATATAATCTAAGAGAATAAGAAAATATACTAATAAAATATTTTACAAATGCTCAATGGGAGAAGTGATCAAAACACCTTCCCTAAGTAAAATTCAGCATTAATTGGAAAAAAATTGTATTCTTTCTTCTGTTGGTTTGGTATAAAATGTAGTTAAAGCTTTTATATGCCTGTGATAAAACTATTTTTCCATATTTTATGTAAAATAGTAAGGAAAGCTAGGCAGTTATGAGGACTTAAAATCATAAAACAAGTTTAGTCATTCCTCACCTGAATTTTTTTTCATTTTTTTCTTTTTCTTTTTTGGCACTGAGGGTTAAACCCAGGTCCACTGTACCACTGAGCTACATCCCCAGCCCTTTTTATTTTTATTTTGAGATGGGATGTTGCTGAGTTGCTGAGACTGGCCCCAACTTGTG